AGGGGAAATCAGGAAGGAAGGCAGGCAAGCAGTTGTGAGCCAGCAGCCCTGGATTGTGAGATGGATATCCGACTGCCCGTTTAGGCCCAATTCTACCGGTATTGGGCCTAAACGGGCAGTAGGACATCCCTCAAGGAGTCCCAGATTGGAGAGGGTGCAGGCTGGGCTGAGGGACAATCCCCCATGCACAAATTTTGTAAATTGGGCATCTAGTCTATACTAATAAAAGCGTAGCATGCTAATTACACCAGATAGACTGTATGTCCTTCCTGACAAAGCCACAGTGGCTGCCAGGGCCGAGGAGGGAGTGGTAGCAGCAGTGGGGTAATGGGGGTGGCACCTTCCCCTGATTGGTCTGGTCACCTCCTGCAGAGGGAAGCCAGCACAGGGAGTGGGCCTAAGCCATCAGTAGGACATCCCCTGAGGGCTCCTAAGCAGGCTGGGGTGAGGGACACCTCCCTCCCTCCATTCATGAGTTTTTGTACACCAGGCCTTTAGTATAGTCAGTAATATTCTAATAACTAGGTATGGTACTAGATGGGTTTAGGATTTATTTGGGTGATCAACTAGTTAAGTTATGTAATGTCTGGTCACTGGGGTGTACACCCGAAACTAAAGATGTATGTCAATTGTAATTGAAAATGGAAATGATTTAAAAAATAAGATGACATGAACAGGTATATCACTGAAGAAATTACCAAAAATCGTGAAAAGCTGCTCAGCCACTATTAATCAAGTAAATAAAATCAAGACCAAACGACTTACCATTTTAGGATCCAAATACATTAGCAAAAATTAAGAAATGTGATAATACTTCTGATTGTACCAGAGTTATAGGTCATCACGATTTCTTTTATTGCTTATCCTATATAATAAAAGGGTCATATGCAAATGACCAAACTGTGGAAAGACAGGTTGCTGTGACGTGCACGGAACAGTGAGGGGCAGACGCTCTATGCAGGGGCTACCCCCTGGTGGTCAGTGTGCTCTCTCAGGGGGAGTGCTGCACAGCCACAAGCTAGGCTGGCACCTGGTGAACATAGCGGCCTGCTTCCAGCAGCACTAAGGATATCCAACTGCTGTTTAAGCTTCCTGCGGGGAGTGGGCCTAAGCTATCAGTCAGACATCCCCTAAAGGCTCCCATACTCCAAAAGGGTGCAGGCCAATCTGAGGAGATCTCCCTCCCCAGGGCATGAATGTCATGCACCAGGCCTCTAGATGGGATATAAATTAGTATGACCCTTTGTTGTTAAATTTGGTAATAATTTAAAACTGAGAAATTTTATCCCATTGACCCAGCATTTTCATTCCTATGTATGTGCACCCAAACGTGTGTACAAAAATGTTCAAAGCAATACTGTTTGCAACAGCAGTCTTGGAAACAACCCAAATCAAGAGAATGCATACATTTAAATACATTCTCATGATTGACTCTTCAGCAATGAGAATGAACAGTGGCATTCAACATCCTGGAAAGATCTTAGTAATAAGTTGAGGGGGGAAAGGCAAGCCCAAAAGACTATGCTACCTTTTTTTTATGTTCAAAAGCAAATAAAATTAAACATTAGGCATGTGTGTGTGTATGTTTCTGTGTGTGATAAAATTAAAGAAATTTCAAGATGGTGGTTACCTTCCAAAGGGGATGCAGGTAGTTGAGTTAGGATAGCAGCACATAGATGTAAGTCATTGGTAGTGTTTTAGTTGTTAGATTTAGTTCTTAGGTTGGATCTGAAGATATTCATTGTCCTATCCTATATAACAAAAGGTTAATATGCAAATCGATCGAATAGTGGAACAACCGACTGCTATGACACACACTGACCAACAGGGGGCAGATGCTCAATGCAGGAGCTTCCCCCTGGTGGTCAGTGCACTCCCACAGGGGGAGCAATACTCAGCCAGAAGCTGAGCTCATGGCTGGTGAGCACAGCAGCAATGGCGGGGGCCTCCTGCCTCTGCAGCAGTGCTAAGAACCCCTCAGGGGATGTCCAACTGCCAGCCCAGGCTGCGAAAGGGCGCAGGCCGGGCTGAGGGACCTCTACCTTCCCAGGCCTCTAGTTAAATATGTGACAGTGTGTCATGATCCAAATATTAGGATTAATCTGCACAGGATAAGTGCCCAATAAGTATTTGTTAAATGTGTACATGGATCTCATTCTGTGTGCATGGTGTCTGAAGGAGGGTGGGTTTGGGGTATTCTTTTTTGCTTCTTTGTCTAAGTTCCTCTATTTTTATCTTTATCACAGCCTGAGCTTGCCTCTAATTAAGCTTCTTATTATTTTCCAAAATAGTGAAATTCTCCTGGTTCTCAGTGCCCACAAGATTCTTTCTTCCTATCTATTTTCTCCCTATTCTCTCCCTCTGTTGCTGGCCTTTGCTTACCACTAAGTGCCTGAATGCTATTAGTAATCAGATGGAGCCAGGTCTTTACCAACTTCTCTTTCTTCATCACTTTACTGATTACTTAAAAACATCATATGATACCATCCTTCTCAAGAAGGTCAATTGAGTATATATACAAAATACCGTAGGATTTTAGTATTGTAGTTGTAGGTAATCTTGTCCAATCCCTATTGTTATTTAGATAAGAATTCTGAAACTTGGAGATATTAAGTGACTTTGGAGTCACACAGCTGAGGAGCAGAGCTAAGACAGGAATCCAGATCTCCTAACCTTTGGGACAGTGTTTTAACCATTACATTAGACTGACAGGGTAGGCTTTGCTTGAATGACTGACTCCATGAGGGCGCCATAGATATTTGAGCCTATATAACAGTGGGTGGAATGTATGTAAGTGTCCAACTTCATGTAGTTAACTCTACAATTTGGTTAACTTTATCTTACTGCATGTTTCCTTCCACCCTATTTTGCTCTGCTTTTCTTTGTTCTTTCTCAGGTGGGATCCTTAGCCAGCAGCAGTGAGTACCTCATGGGAGCAGTATAGAGAGCATCCCTTTGACTAGCAGAGCCTCCAATGACTTAGCCAGAATGTGCACATTAAAATTAGGACCAGTGAGGAAGGAGATGGTAAACTTCATCTCTTTAGTCCTGTTTAGAGACTTGGAATAAGTATATATGCCAGACACAAAACATCCAGGGATTATGTTCTTAAAGTCTGTTCTTGAGAAACTGACTGAAGATAACTGGTGCAGTGTGGACAGTACTGTGTGCAACAGAATTGGGATGGAACAGGATTTATATTATAAGGACTATCTCTAAGAACAGCCATAAAAATCAGATTGTTCTTTCCAATCCTTTAGGTTGGCAAACTCATTAGTCAACAGAGCTAAATATCAATAGTACAACGATAGACATTTTTTTTTTTTTTTGGAGAGCTGAAAACTGACTTACTGCACATGGGTCATGAAGTTTCAATAGCATTGTACGTGCGTGCCTGCACGTGGTATTTTTTGGAAGAGCCACACTCAAGGGACCAAAGAGCTGCATGTTGCTCACGAGCTGTGGTTTGCCAATCAGTGCTCTGAGGTATAACCTAAATGAGAATTACACTCAGAATCTTGTACTGAAATACCCAGGATAAAAAGTCATGTTTAGATGCAGAGCTAAACCTAGTTCAGGCTAATGTAGAAGGTGGAAATGGGTGGTGAGTGTCTGTAGGAGGAATAAATTAGCAGTTGAAGTCTTGAAGTTCTCTGGCCCTGAATTGAATATTCGGACCACAATTCTATCATAGAACTTTAGTGTGAGTGCATGATGAATTTACAGCCTGATTAGTAAAGAATGTTAGTCCAGTGGTTATCATTCCCACAGCAACTTCATGGCTATCACAAGACCAAAAATTGAAGCAGAGTGGTGTTAGTAATAATAGAAAGTTCCAGGGTGGAATGGTTGATAAGGGCCCTGCTTATGGCCTGTAATGATAGCATCATTCTCCATCTTCCTCTTAGTCTCATACACACACACACACACACACACACACACACACACACAAACGAGAGTCTGATAAGGCTACGTATGCTAAAGCTGAGCATAGAGATTGAAGTCCTAATCACAGGCAAGAAGAGTTGGGAGCAGGAGCACACAGCACTGTTTTGTATCTAAGAAAAATAAAAAATGAGTCTATAAATGGTTATAAACAGGACTACTCATTGGTAGGTAAGGATGGTGAATGATTTATGGATTTAGATAGGGTAGAAACAAGTAAATTGGCACCACTTCCTAAAGTGTGGGGACTTTCTGAAGGAAGAATGATTCTTCAAGTTTTTTGCCATTGTGATTATATGGAAAATTAGTTATCCCTTAACTGCTATGCTTTCACCCTTTTCTCTTGAAAGACTCTGGTCACAGTATTTTATGTAACTTTGAAACTAAAGCAGATCGGACTTGCTCTGCTTGCCTCCTCTTTACTCATTTCACTCAGCCTGACATTTGATCTGAAGTGCTGATGTCACCACTGACTTGGGCACCTCATTCCTCTCATTTCATGTGTTACTCCTCTATCAGAACCCTTCAATGATTCCCTGATGTTCTCAAGATGAACTCTAGTTGCCTTACATGGCTACAAGGCCTGCTTAAACTAATCCTAGCTCACCTTTTAGACATCATCTCTTGCCACTCCTCAGCCATTGGCTATACTCAGTACAAACTAAGGCATACTGATTTTTTCACTCCAGACCTTCTATATCTTATTACCTCTGCCTAAAACATTGCCCCCTCTTCATATAAATTCCTCATCCTAGAGTTCTCACCCTAGCTATCACCAGGAAGCCTTCTTCAGACCTCTAGGCTAGGTTCCTTCTCTGCCTCTGATTTACACAGTGCTCTCTATTGTCCCCAGCACAACACTTAGCATATTGTTTTGTAATTACCTGTTCTTTGCCTGTACTCTCCACTAGACTAAATTTTGTGAGGAAAGATGTCCTGTTTGTTTTTTCACTGCTGTATTCCCAAGTGTCTAGCACAGTGCATGACAGTAGGCACTTGAGTAAATGTTTGATCAAGGAATGGGTGAATGAACTGGTTTTGTTGTTTTATGACAGGAATGGGAAAAGGACAGCACAGGATGCCTTCCAAGGATGAACTGGTCCAGAGATATAACAGGATGAATACTATTCCCCAGGTATTAATACTTGGTCCTGCTCCAGTGAGTCAGTACACTTCTCCTGGGATAAGTTTTGGTTACAGAGATGGATGGAAAAACAATGATGGGGTGGTGGGTAATTTGAAGGAATCAGGTACATTCTAAGATGAACATGCTTCCGGTCATAAGTGGCTTTAGTCATAACTGAAAACAGAGACTGAGTTTGTGAAAAAAATGCAGTGACATGTAATTGTAAAGATGGAAGCTGTGGACTCATCCAGACTGGTGTTATTTTTGCGGAGGGGAAGGAGTGGCTGGAAGCCCAGGATATCCCTGATCCTACCCATCATCAGCAAACCAGCCTCTATAACAGTCTGTCTGGGTCCTGTTCTCTTTCTCTTCTAGACCCGTTCCATTCAGTCAAGGTTCCTGCAGAGTCGGAATCTAAACTGTATAGCACTTTGTGAAGGTAAGTAGCTCAACCAGTCCCTGTTTTTCTAGGTCCCCAACCTAGTATATATACACTTTATATTTTTATTGATTTCAGAGAGGAAGGGAGAGGGAGAGAGATAGAAACATAAATGATGAGGCGAAACCGGTTTAGCTCAGTGGATAGAGCATTGGCCTGCAGACTCAAGGGTCCCAGGTTCGATTCTGGTCAAGGGCATGTACCTTGGTTGCAGGCACATCCCCAGTAGGCAGTTGATAGATGTTTCTCTCTCATCAATATTTCTAATTATCTCTCTCCCTTCCTCTCTGTAAAAAATCAATATTTTTTTTTTAAAGAAAGAAACATAAATGATGAGAGAGAATCATGGATTGGCTGCCTCCTGCATGTCCCACACTAGGGATTGAGGCCATAACCTGGGCATGTGCCCTGACTGGGAATCGAACCATGACCTACTGGTTCATAGATCAACGCTCAACCACTGAGTCACACCAGTGGGCCCAACCTTTCTTTTTGGTGCAACTAATGGCACATGATCCAGCCAAGGATGATGTCGAAGCATCATATCTTCCCTTCCCTGCCTGGACTCTGACCTAAGCATCATATATATATATCTCTGGCCCCTCTTCTCAGTCATTACATCTAAAGACCTCCAGAAGCATGGGAACATCTGGGTGTGCCCTGTGTCCGACCATGTCTGCACACGGTTCTTCTTTGTGTAAGTCTGGGAGGGTACCTAGGGGATTACTCTGAGGAGTGAGGGTGGGGGTGGTGTGCTGGCATGTGATTACTGTTATCTTAGACTTGTCCCTGGCTACCTGAGTGCAGCTGGCACTGGGACTTTCCCCTTGGAGGTTGGGGATGCCTATATATCAGGGTCTGTTTAGAGGAAACCAGGTAAGTTGAATCTCTTCCACCCTAAGAAAAACCAAGAAAGTGTTTTTATTTATAGAATGGTACACCTCCAAATACAGTTCCCCTGGATGACATTATTTCTAGTATTGTTCTCTCTCTTACGCTCACATTTGCCCTATCTTTGGCAGATATGAGGATGGTCAGGTGGGCGATGCCAACATTAATACTCAGGACCCCAAGATACAGAAGGAAATCATGCGTGTGATCGGAACTCAGGTTTATACAAACTGAGGGGGCCCAGCCCTCGTACCACCCCTGGTCCCCCAGGATCCATCTGCCCTTATTGAAGGGCTCAGGAGCAGCTAGTGAGACTGCCCTGAGGAACCAAGGAGCAGGCAAAGGATAGAAGCGGCCGCCTTCATAGTGGAGATTGACCTAGGAACCACTCCACATTTGGATGGCCCAGACTGACCCCCTATTCCTGATATTCCCAGTTGATTTCACCCTGTTTGTAAATAAAACAATAAAATGAAAGGTGCTGTGGACTGGATATGATCACTGTGTTCTGACTGGCCTTGGCCCAGCACCGGCCCCAAGCCCCCAAGGGTTGGGGGAGGGGGTGCGGGAAGAGTGGAATAGTATGAGGTTTGAGATTATGTAAATTAGGTGGAGTCAAAACTGAGTTCATCTCATGTAGAATACTACAGATCTGTCAACATTGTAATCAATTAATTAGATAAAGAAGGGAAATGAACAGTTTGCAGATTACACAAACTAAGATAATAGAATACAATAACACTGATCAACTGTTCCTCTTGTTTTAAAAGGACCATTAAGGCCAAAGTAGCTCAGATTTCCTACCTCTGCTTTCTGCCTAAAACCTACCGTATCCATTTTCCCTTGATTTGTATCTCAGGCTGGGCTCTTGATTTGTATCTCAGGCTGTTTTCCTCCTCCCAGGTACTTTTTTGGGATGGGGAAGTAGGGGAGAGCCACCAGTTGGGCTTTTCTCTAACTTGAAATCTATAAAAAGATCCTAAGGAAATGCAACCTCCCATAATGAAATAAAATTCAGATTATCCAAGGCCAGCCAGCAAGGTGAGAAGAAACTGCTGTGTTTTTTATTTTCTGATTTTTTAAAATTTAATAAATCGTTATTGTTCAGATTATTACAATTGTTTCTCCTTCTCTCCTCCCCTCCATAGCTCCCCTCCACCCAGTTCCCATGCCACCCTCTGCCCTTACCTCCCCGCACTGTCCTCATCCATAGGTGTACAATTTTTGTCCAGTCTCTTCCTGTACCTTCCTTACCCCTTTCCTCCTGAGATGATCAATCCACTCCTATTCTATGCCCCTGATTCTATTATATTCACCAGTTTATTCTATTCATCAGAATTTTAATTCACTTTATCTTTAGATTTACTTGTTGATAGATATGTATTTGTTGTTCATAATTTTTATCTTTACCTTTTTCTTCTTCTTCCACTTCTTAAAGAATACCTTTCAGCATTTCATATAATATTGGTTTGGTGGTGATGAACTCATTTAGCTTTTTCTTATCTGTGAAGCTCTTTACCTCACCTTCAATTCTGAATGATAACTTTGCTGGGTAGAGTAATCTTGGTTGTAGGTTCTTGCTATTCATCACTTTGAATATTTCTTGCCACTCCCTTCTGACCTGCATAGTTTTGCTGAGAAATCAATTGACAGTTGTATGGGTGCTCCCTTATAGGTAACTAACTGTTTTTCTCTTGCTGCTTTTAATATTCTCTGTCTTTTGCTCTTGGCATTTTAATTATGATGTATCTTGGTATAGTCCTCTTTGGGTTCCTTTTGTTTGGGGTTCTGTGCACTTCCTGGACTTGTAAGTCTACTTTTTTCACCAGGTGGGGGAAGTTTTCGGTCACTATTTCTTCAAATAGTTTTTCAGTATCTTGCTCTCTTTTTTCTTCTAGCACCCCCATAATTCTGATGTTGGTATGCTTGAAGTTGTCCCAGAGGCTTCTTACACTATCTTCAAATGTTTGTGTTTTTGTTTGTTTGTTTGTTTTTAAATATATTTTATTATTTTTTTTACAGAGAGGAAGGGAGAAGGATAGAGTTAGAAACATTGATGAGAGAAAAACATCAATCAGCTGCCCCCTGCACACCTCCTACTGGGGATGTGCCCGCAACCAAGCTACATACCCTTCACTGGAATCAAACCTTGGTCCTTTCAGTCCAAAGGCCAACACTCTAGCTACTGAGTCAAACTGGTTCAGGCTATCTTCAAATTTTTGGATTCTTTTTTTTCTTTTTGCTTTCCCAGTTGAGTGTTTTTTGCTTCTTTGTATTTCAAATCTTTGACTTGATTCTTTCATTCCTCTAGTCTGCTGTTGGGTCTCTGTATAATATTTTTTTTATTTCAGTCAGTGTATGTTTAATTTCTAGTTGGTCCTTTTTCATATCCTCGAGAGTCTCGTTAAATTTGTTGGCCTTTTCGAGGAAACTCTTTTTAAAAAAATATATATTTTATTGATTTTTTACAGAGAGGAAGGGGAAAGGATAGAGAGTTAAAAACATTGATGAGAGAGAAACATTCATCCTGCACACTCCCCACTGGGGATGTGCCTGCAACCAAGGTACATGCCCTTGACCAGAATTGAACCTGTGACCCTTGAGTCCGCAGCCAATGCCCTATCCATTGAGCCAAACTGGTTAGGGCTCTCAGAAATTCTTGAAAAACCTTACAACCATGATTTTTAATTCTATATCCAGTCATTTGTTTTCCTCCATTTCTTTTGTTTGTGTTCTGTTTCTTTATCTCCGCATTTTCTCTGCTTCCCTGAGTTGGTAGGGTGGCTTTGTGTGCTAGGTGCCCTGTATGGCCCAGTGGGTTGACCTCTCAGTTACCTGAGGTGGACACTCGTGGTGCACCCTTTTGGGGACTGTGTGTACAGCCTTGTTGTAGCTAACAGCCTTGATTGTTGTCGGTGTCACTGGGAGGAATTGACCAATTGGCTGTGAGGACCAGGTGTGTCTATAATGGAAGAACAACTGTGCTGGAGACATGCTTATGGGGCAGGACTTGCTTCAGTGGGGCTTTGGTGCTCATTAAGTCTACCTCTTGAATGTGTCACTTATAGATGTGAGTAGTTGAAATCTGGTGACATCTCACATTGACCACTAGATACACTAGCTTCTGGATCTCCAATGGGGTGCAGGTCAGCTACTATCTAAGGCCGCCCAACAGGTGTTACAGAGAGAACTACAGTTTTCTCCTCTTTGCTTAGGATTTGGAGGTTTTGGAGCTGTCTGACCAGAGCTGCAGTTTGTTAGGTTAAGCTGCAATAGAGCAGGCCATTTATATGCAAAAGCCACTGTGTAGAGCTCGGGTGGGTTTGTAGATTGTGCAGGGCAGGGTCTCAGGGAGTCACTAGGCTAGGGCATGGCAATCAGCAATGGTTGCCAGTCAGCCGTCTCTGTGCCTCTGCATCTCTGCGTTTCTAAGTCCCCTCGTTCCGCGCCCAAGCGCAATAAACAATGATTGCTGGGTGCACCACTGTAAGAAAGTCACCCTCACTTTCCAACCCTATGGCAGAGAGTCCAGTTTCTCCCCATAGGAGTTTGGGTCTCCAGCATCTCCCCAGAAACTGGATTTCAGAGTAATTGGGAGCTTGTCTCCCTTCGGGTTGAAAAAAGTCATGCAGCCAGCCCGATTCATGTGCTCTGAACTTCAGCTTTTCAGCACTTGTGCACATTTCAATGCTCTTTTCTCTTTCCTTCAAGTTATAGAACTTCCTCTCAGCCAGATTTCCCGTAGTTCTGGGTGATAGATGTTTTGTCTTTTAGTTGTAGTTTTGAAACTGTTGTGCAAGGCAGCAGTTTAGGTGTTTACTTATGTTGCCATCTTGGTTTCTCCCAAACTGCTGTTTCTAGATCTAATTTTTCAGTGAAATTCAACTCCTTGTTGAAATTCCCACTGATAACCTCTACTAGCCTTTGTGCTCCATGTACCTACAACACTTAATTGTAAGAGACAGGTTGGACATTGATAAATAGTTTGAAATATTAATGAAGAAAAACAGGAATATAAGCACATAATTTTTTTAAAAAGCATTTAAACAAGCATTTTCAAGTACAAGCATATCTTGGAGGCACTGTGGGTTCCATGCCAGGCCACTGCAGCAAAGCAGCTATTGCAATAAAGTAAGGTATAATCTTTTTGCTGATAGAGGATATTGCCTTCAATTTGTAATAAAAAGGTAACATCTGTGAAGTGCAATAAAACTAGGTCTGCCTCCCAATAAATTCAATTATTAATAATTTTTTAAAATGAGGTCTACCTGTATAGGCTTTTGTTGTTGTTGTTGTTATAGCTTTTTGATTTACAAAGCCAAGATCTGCCCAACCCCAGAATCTAATTTACAATAGATCAGCTATTTTCTTGCATTACCTTCACCCTACTTTGGAGATACCCTTCTTTGCCTGGGTTCCTTACCTGCTTTGTAGTTCCAGACTTACCTTCACTTGGAAGTACCATTTTTAAGCTCCAAACCTCCCTCTTCCCCTAGGAGCTATTTCTTTACTTGTTCTTGATCAAGACTACTACATTCTGGCTCTACAAGTCTTCTAAGGCTCTCTCCCCTTTCTAGTTTCAGGTTTAGCAGAAATTGTCTTCACTAAGTAAATGACCCCATCAGGGAGCCCACCCTAATTGACATTTCTGCCTCTTGGGATGACCATTGAAGCTTATCTGTACAGTATCAGAGATAGCTAACATCTTAGTTTTACCTAGGTAGGTGCTAGGCATTATCCTAAACACTTTAATAATTTTCTAACACTGTGTTTGGCATTATAAGCTCTTTACATGTACTGACAAATATAATTCTCTCAAGAAGCCTATAAAATAGGTGCCATTATCCCAATTTTGTAGATGAGAAAATAGAGGCACAGAGGTAGTGATTTGCCCATGTTGCACAGCTATTCACGGATAAGCAACCTGATTCCAAAATTGCTGTTCTGGTTTTATACTAGACTAGAGGCCCAGTGCACAAAATTCGTGCAGGGGGCCAGGGTGGGGGGATGTCCTTCAGCCCAGCCTGCACCCTCTCTAATCTGGGACCCCTGGAGAGATGTCTGACTTCCCGGGATCAGGCCAAAATGAGCAGTTGGACATCCCTCTTACAATCCAGGACTGCTGGCTCACAACTGCTTGCCTGCCTGCCTTCCTGATTGCCCCTAAACACTTCTGCCTGCCAGCCTGATCACCCCCTAACCACTCCCATGCCAGCCTGATTGATGTCTAACTGCTCCCCTGCCAGCCTGTTTGCCCCCAACTTCTCTCCTCTGCTGGCCTGGTCACCCCTAATTGCCCTCCCCTGCAGGGTTGATCATTTCCAACTGCCCTCCCTTGCAGGCCTGGTGCCTCCCAACTGCCCTCTCCTGCTGGCCATCTTGTAGTGGCCATCTTGTGTCCACATGGGGGCAGGATCTTTGACCACATGGGGGCAACTATTGTGTGTTGGAGTGATGGTCAATCTGTATATTACTCTTTTATTAGATA